ATACCATCCACCTTCATTTAAATAACTTCCATCTAATGTTCGATTAAGAATATATTTATTATGATCATTATCAAAACGTATAAATGATAAACCATAGTTCATATGTCGAAATACACTTGTTCTATAACCAAATTCATTTTGTCCTTCATATAATTCATTTCGTTGTTGAAATGGATTTTGTCTTTCATATTCAGAACCATTTAGATATATACTAACTTCTAATAGTTGTGTATAAGCTAAACCTATACTCATTATTTCTGATTCAATCCATTGTTCAGTAAGTGGAGGATCAGGTCGACGATCAATAAAACCATCATTAGCTGGATCTCGATCAGGTCTATATAATGCTAAATAACTAGAAAATAAATGAGCAAGACGTATAGCTTGTAATGTAAATGGACGAGCTATACGATCAATATGTTGAGTTAAATCATTAACAAAACGTATATTATCATCATCATTTTGTTCAACAGGTAACATAGCAATATGTGACCATGGTGGACATATTGATGGACGATGAAAAATGAGTGAACGAAGTTTTTCAAATATATTTGGCCGTAGAATAGAACGACGATATTGATGTCGTTTCGATCTATCAACATGCCATGTTGGATATTTTGTTAAAAGGCGAATCGATCGATAATGAGGCAAAGATATTCATGGATATATGATAATTCGCAATAATAAGAAATAATCACAACAACAATTTCCTAAGAAAATTTCAAGGACACTGTATTCAATGAGAATTCTCATGATAAAGAGAAACAATATTAGGTCTGTTGATTGACAAGTAATGAATATGTAATATAACGTTCGATCACTTGTCTTGAGATTTTTCTTTGGTTTGTTCTGTTGTCATTTTATCTCATGGTTATGCTTATAATGACATTGATAGATCGATCAAAAAGCATCATATAACGAGCTTTTCTGCACTTATATTTTTATTACTTCATTCGAATGTTTTTTTTCTGTCATAAGGAAGACAAATGATATATATCGTTGTAAAAGGATAATATATTGACTCTGATTCATTCTTATATGATCTTAAGCATATTTCTTTTTATTATAAGCAATAACTTCTGCAATTATCACAACTTGCCGGAGAAATCACTTTGGAACTAAAATAGAGAACTCACATGTGTTCTTTAGTATCAATATCCTAAAGCAAAATATGTCAAATGAAAAGTCTCTAGTACACTATATTTGGTTTCCAAGGATAATCGACTGAGAAGGAAACGATCGATCTTATTTACTGCTGCACTTTAAATAAAGTTTTTACGATTATGAAGAGGACAGGAAGCAGGATGATTTCCTCTTCGTAAATGTTTTGTTGTTTTGCGATCTGCATTTTTCTCTGGAAGCTTTCTGTTGTGGATAACTAACATTTCTAGTAGTTCAGTGAAATAGATTGCCTATGTATAAGCACAATTATGTTTGTAATATTCTTTCGAAGAGAAACTGAAGAATTTCTTGTGCTAATTCATCATAATATCTTGACAGCAACTTCAAGTATCATTTTATTGAACAAGTTTTGACCAAGTAGCTTAATAGTCAGATAAAACTCTTACAACGCTAGTAGGATATCATAGACGGCAGACGGTCAGTTTTCAAGTGAAGGAATAAAGTTTTAAATGAGTTCACACTGTTTCCTACCTTCAATAGTAAGGTCTGGTGTAGAGAGGAAGAACTTTGACACCCACACCTATATTAAACTTTATAGTAGTAGAAAAAATTATAAAAGAAAAGTATTCTTGGTTTGCTTCTATTATACCATGCATCTATTTCAAACTCGAAAAGTAAACCATATTTTTATAGACGTACTAAGAGAGAAAAGTTCTGAAAAAAGAAAAATGGTATTTTTCCGGTTCAAGAAGAATTTGTAAGAATCAGCTTTTGATGGTGCCATTATAAAAAGCGCAGAACTCTAAGCACAATGAGAGATTGTTGAGTTTTCAATGACCTTCTCCGGTCAAGTTGCAAACATCACAAAAGACGAAAAACTTCTTTCTGTTTAGTCGTTTTTCAGATGTTGTTGACCTCATTAGCTATTCAAGCCACTATTTGGATTTGACATAAATGCGTGGCATAGTAGAAAAAAATTAAAAATACTTTCCTCTTATAATTTTGCTCAGCAATGTAAGTGAACAAAAACTATGATGAGTACTATAAAAAAAAACCAGACAAACATTAGAAAAAAAACATTATATCTCAAACTATAGATGTGAACATGTTTTTGCATAAGGTAAAAATGTGTTTCTATTTACCAAAAATTTCTCTAAGAATTTACTGAAACAAAAATATCAATGAAGTAAAACATGTTCATGATTGACAACGAGAGTGGGCGTGGGAGTAGTTGAGAATGTGGCTGAAGACAAGAGCCTGATTTACGCCAATATATTCGCTGGCATAATATGGCTCAGGTAATAGACATTTCTATATCTCACGAGCATGTGGCAAGTGATTAGTAGCAGTGTCACAATCATTTTTATTATTTTTTTTCCACATGATCACTTGCATACTTTACTTCTTCAATGTTCAATATTTTTTCTTCTTACACTAATCATCTCTTTTACAATACTTGATTTAATAAAAGTGCCACATAAATGAATAAATCAAAGTGATAAGAATTTGTATAGTTAATATGTGTACTCTGAAATGTTTGCATTTAGAATCATAATTCTAACAATTGGTTTGATTTATTTAATATCATTATACTGCAAAAGTTTATTAATATTGTCAGATAATCTTCAAAACATGATTTATTTTCTTCTAATGCTAATATATAAGACACTTGCTATAGGAAGAGGAAAGTATCAATGCATTCTATGTTTCGTCGGTTCAAGTACTATATCAATCTGCTATAAACCTTGATTTAATCATTCAGTAAGCTTCCAAGCACACCATCCTTTCGCTCAGTGAGTTTCGATATACACTGTTGATTTTTGCCTAATCTTAGAAATCAATTGGTTTATACTTTTCGATATTTGTCTTATTCTGACTCTGATACATCAATAATACCCCTGTCTTACCGATTGACATCTACGGTAAGATCCTTAAACTGCATTAAAAAACCAACCCTTCAGTATTTAGAAAAGTTAGAATCTACAGTGTTTCAGAATGATCGAAGTATTGTTAAGACTTATCCGTCTTGTCTCGTTGTTAGGAAAATCCATTGAATAATCTTTGATTTCTCGCCACTTGATTGCTAGGGCCTAGAGGGAGGAGAAGCCACCAAAACTTCGATTTAAACTTTCACTCCTTATTTTCTTCGAAAACATGTGTGAATTCCATAAAAGAAAATACTTATAGTAAGTGTCTCGACAGTCAAAAACATTTGACCCTTAAACTTTGACATTCTTCATATATGGCCGTTAACAATAATAATATGATGACATTAAATACTTTTAGTTGATTGCTATTCTATGAGAAATTTTCCATGATCATACAAAACACGTGAAAAAATGAGTTCGATTGAAAATTTCTATTAGGTTGCTGCATAAGATTACAATTATACATTTACATGAGCAAAACATAAACAACTTTTCACTCAATATGAATTAATAAAAAGCCTATAAAAAGCCAAGGTCATTGAGAAAATTTGATCGTGCATCAACAATTCCGAGTTCCACTTATAGTTCAAATGATTTATTTATTAATTTAAAAAGATAATATAACATATATATTTAGGAAGAAATTCTTCATTAATATTGAATTATTCACTTTCATTTTGATATGAATTTTAAGTATTCACAACTGTCTTCCTAATAAAGTGCATCGATCATGTATACCCATATTTAGTAAACGTTTATCTCCATGTTTAGAATATAATAATTCATTAACAACTTGAAAACCATGACGCATAAATGCTTTCCGTGAAAACAAACTTGTACAAACAACATATGCACCTTTAATACCTAATTGTCGAGCTTTATCAAGTGATTTAGCTATTAATCGAGTAGTTAAATTTTGACCACGTTCTTTTTCGTCAATATTAACAATATCAAAATGAAAAAGACGATCAGTTTTATACATGTTAAATAGATCATAACCATCCATTACCTGATGCATTAATGAAAAAATAAATTTAAATTTTTCAGATTCCAAAACTACTGTTTCTTCTTCTTCTTCTGTACTATTTGAAATACCATTAAGTATAACTCCAACAATATCTTTATGAGGAGTTGTGGTATCAATAGCAACAAATGAACATTGCTGACGAAGCGCATCGGTAACAAGTAGATCAGCCAGTGATAATGGTTCATGAGGAATATCAAATTTGAGCATATCATTAAGTGGTTCTTGTATAAAAAATGAACTCATTAGAAGATTAATGACTGGTTGCCGATATTCAGGTAGTAATGGGACAATATCAACAGTGTATCCAGACGTCATCTAACAGAGAAAAGAAATATACATACAAGTTTTTTTTGTGATTTTGTCACATACATCCAAGCATGGGCGAGTCGTCGAAGAACAATTGGGAGCAATTGCCACATGTACAAAAATTATTAGCACCATACACAAGGTTAACAACATGTTTTTCTTTGATAATCGTAAGATATTACAATATATTGCCATACCTTAATATAGCACGCTAGCTCGTTAATACATAGAAAAATCAACTGTATTATGATATAGACGAATGACAACTAATAGTTATGAAAGAAACGCAAAATCATGTGCCGGCACAATTACTGTTTTTATATCAATGTCAGTATGTACTGCTATTTGTCTTTTTCATAGCTTGTTGAGTACCTCTGTTAGAATGAAAGTTCGGATAACGAAGAAAGACAAAAAATATAGACCAGCTACTATCTTCTTTCTTCTTCTAATTGCTATCTCTGTTCTTGTTCCCTTATATGACAGGCCATCTTGTTTGTAGAACAATCAGTACTAAATGATCTCTTTCCACTATTTTAGCATATTCGAATGGAAAAATATTATATAATAGTAGAAATTATTTATTCGTTCAAAAACAAAAACAACAATTTTTTTTTGGTTTAAAAAAAATGACAAAACTATAAAACAAAAAGAAATTTTATTTCGAACACTATCTGACGTATAATATCTCGGTTCTAATTGTGGATCAATAGGACGACATTGCATATTTTCATAAGCATTGATTTCACCACGTAACATTTTTGCATGCTCACGTTCAATAATAGCACCTTCAAAATAATTTTTTATTGAATTAAATGGATATTCATAACCAATTTTACATACACATCGATAACTAGCTAAATCAAAACCTGTTTCTTCTTCTGGAATAGTTTGATATTGACATTCTGTTGTTTCACGATGACATTTATGTAAACTTTGAAATGGATTATAAGCATTGATTCCAATTGCATTATCACATGGATTAATTGAATACCAACGAAGATTCGATCCAAAAACAATTGATACAAAACCAATTGGTAGACGAGCTACTTCTTTAAATATTGGTACGGAATAACGCCAACGAACCATACTTTTTGGTGATGGATTCGTAAATGAACAATCATGATAAGGACCAAACCTATATTAAAATTTATTTTTCATTTATCAAATACAAAAATTGTTATTTACCATACACCAGTTGTTGGTGCATCATATAACAAAGTGGGTAATTTAATCAATTGTGTACCAAGTAAATCTCTTCGCATTGTCATTGATATACT